GAAAGGAAGCAGCCAGCAGAGTCCCTTGGGAGGGCCTGTGAAGCCATCAGTTGCCACCTGCTCCATCACAGCCAAGGCTCGTCCCAGCCAGGAGGCAAGCGGATTGCACCCACACTGAAGAGCCGGGCTGGCCCTCTGCCCCACGACTGGATCGCCAATTGCCCCAAACCCACCACCATGCTTGCTGCCACAAGGCCCCAGGAAGTGCCCCCTGAGGACAGTCCCCACCCCTTGGGTTGTCCAGGATCAAACAGGCCTCACACTCTCCAGGGGAAAGACAACCTCTTCCCCCATATCCCTACTCCAGTCAGACCCCGAGCAGGGAGGAGCAAAGAACAAAAACCACAGCAGGTCAATAGAGAAACCCATACCCACACCACAACCCACTTCTCGGTCATTTAAGAGCTTTATTTATTCTGTGACTTCATGCTGTTATTGCCCAACCCACCCTGAGGCTCCATGTTAGAAAGAGTTCAGAGAGGGGATGCAAACTTGCCGACGATGCACAGCATGAAACAGGCAGAACCAGGATCTCAACCCTGGATTCCCTGGCTCCAGATTCCCAGCTCTTTCAACAGCTTCAAGTTTGGAGCCCTCTCCCCTAACCGTGCACCACACACATTCCAACACAGACAGAAGCCCCAAGACCAGGTGAGACCCGAGCCTTGGCCAGCTGGTACAATGGAAGCTAGCAGCAATGGCAGGCCCGGGCTGTCCCTGCCCTCTGCGTGAGCTATAGGTGGAAAAAGGGCCTTCTCTCTCCTCTTTGAGGGCCACCCCAGCCCAGCCCCCTGGCCGGGCCTGGAGCCATGGCTGCCCAGACTCCTCTGTAATCACAGTTTCCTGTTTGGCACAGAAACCAGGCCTGGCCAGTGGGGGAGGGGAAAGGCCGCCCCCTTTGGCCAGGGCTCACTCTGGAGGGCGGGGGGCCGGAAGTGAAGGCTCCCCGGACTCCTGGAATCTTAGGAGACAGGGAGCCCAGGCAAGGGATAGGTTGACAGTCACCAGAGCCTGAGCCAGACCAGCGTTCTGACGTGGGATGGGACACCATGGTGGAGGAGGGGCTTGAGGTGTGGGGGCAGCACCCTCCCCAACCAGGCCAGAGCTGCACTCTGCTGGGCCAGGGATTGGGGGAAGCAGGAGAAGGCGGGAGACAGCAGCTGGGCCCCAAGCAGCTCGCAGCTCTGGCCACACTGCCCCCAGACACAAAATCACAGGGCTCCTCTGGCTGGGTCCAAGTCTGGAGCCGCTGCCCCCACATCCCGCCCAGCTGTGGTGGGGACAGTGCCCGGGTGCCCAGACCGCAGGCCCACCCCATGCAGCCCCCTGGGGCCTCACAGGCGCACAGCCTGGGCTCAGCAGGATCCTGCCCAGCCAACCCCACAGAAGGTACCCAGAGTCCCAGCCCAGGCTCACAGTCCTGTCATCCCTCCATCATGTTTTCCTTCGCTCCTTCCTACCTACGTACCTAACTACCATCAGTTCTGGCCCAGGCACAAAGTGACCACCCTCCAGGGGGGTGGGGGATCAGCAAGAAACAGGGCAGCACTTGATGCCACTCCTGCCTGCCGGGAAGAAGAGGAGACAGAGGGACCCTGCCAGGGCACAATGGAGCAGCAGTCCCTGTTAGGTCACAGCAGGGGTAGGGTGGGGTGCAGAGAGGCCAAGACTCAGGGAGGGGCCAGCGAGGTCACATATATGGACTCCGTGAAGTTTCCTTAGGGTCAGTGGGGACCGCATACGGGCCTGGTCACTTCCGTGAAGAGCAAGCACCCAGGCTAGGGACCCTGGAGCCACATCAGAGCAAGGGTAACTCTACAGGCCCAGCTCCTCCACAGATTCTAACATTTCCCGCCTCCTTTGCACTGGCCATGCACAGCTGTACTAAGCTCCTCTCCCCAGGAGATGCAGGAAGGGCCCCTGGGCAAGCCCTTCCTCCTGCTGCTACACCAAGTACAGCACAGGAGCAAGAAAAAGACCATAGGCAGCAAGAGCAGGTGCTCATTCAACACCAGCTGGGGAAGCATGGGGGGAAGGGCGCTCAGAGAGGTAAAGGCACCTGCAGGAGATCACACAGCTTGGGGCGGGGAGAGGGTTGGATCCCAGGAGCTGGTACTTCCCTGCTCCACCTGTCAAGAATACGCCCCCAACCCTGTGCACAGTCACCAGCCCTCTCTTCCAGGCTGCTTGGGGGTGAAGGTCCCACGATACAGGAAACTCCATCTTCCTGCCCCCAACTGCCGCCACAGCCCTTCCCAGAGCCGACCTCAGAACTGCTGACTTTAGGACTGTCCTACAGGAGCCCAGGGGCTCAGGAACCAACGCACAAGCCCATAAGAGCCAGGGCAGCGGGAGGGTGGGGGAGAACCAGCAGTCTTCACCCTGAGCTCCACTAACACAGAACAAGAAGAAAGCCATGGAATTAAGATGTGAGGCCGTGGGCCGCTCCCCAGGGAGCAGTGGCCTCCACTGTGTTGTCAGGACACCGTTACACCTACACCCAGGGTGCACAGTCCTGTAAATCCACAACCTGCCCCTTCGACAGGTAAGAAAACCAAGGAAAGTGCTGACAGGAGCCACAGCCTCCTCAGTCTCAGAAGGCAATCACTTGGACGGCTTAATCCAGAGCCCTCCTCCTCCACGAAGCCTTCTGGGATTCCCTGCAGGCTCCCTCCTAAAAAGGCCCCATCCCCAGAGCGCTCAGAACACAGCAAGCTTTGCTCAGCGGGCCCTGGGAGCTCATTTTCTTCCTTCCGACACCCCCTGGGAGGTCTCCTGTTCCCAGGGGAAGACCTGGAGACAAGAAGGGAAACCCCCTGCTGGTGCCTTCCTGGGGACCCTCCTACCCCAACCTTCCCCTCCCCCCCCCCACCTGCAGTGGAGCTGGCAGCCAGCAGAGCCAGGAGGAGCCCCTATTTCCAAACGAACCCTTGCCTAGTCTCTTGCCTAGACTTATTCCCCACTGCCAAGCAGGCACCTGCCCCAACTGCCTCCCACAGAATGGCAACTTTGTAACAAGAGATCAATAAGCTGAGCGCTTCCTTCCTGCTAGGAACTGTTCTAAAAACTTCCCAAATTCATCCTCTTTCATTCTCACAATCTCTCCCTTGCGCAGACACTGAGCCACGTTGACAAGCGCACACAGCTGCAGAGGAGTGAATTCCCAGCCCTGGGAGTACACAGGGGAGACACGTGAGTCTGTCCTGGCTGGGACTCTGGAAAGGCCGAAAAGCCTTGCTGGGATGGCGACTTCAAGCAGGCATGGCAGACAAGGTGGTCCCCAAGGCAGCTGTCCCTGGAACTCTGCTCACTTGGTCGCCCAACAAAGGAGATGCCAGGAGTCACACACCTGGTGCCATCCACTGCCATCACAGCAAAGCCAAAGCCTGCCACCTCAGCCTAGAACCCCTACACACACACACACTCACACTGGAACGCAGGAGACCCTGCTATCCTGTGCCCGTCCTACCTATCCTTTCCCTGTGCCCGCCACTGTTCGTCCCTTGGCTCCAGGCAGCGCCTCCTGGTCCTCTCTTCTTCCTCCCCAGTGGCACCCCTGACAACCAGGCTCCACCCATTTTAACCCTTTGCTTCCTGGACCTGAGAAGATCAGAGAGGGGCAATGTCCTTCCTTTTTTTCCTAAGCAGTGACAAGAGAAGACTGCAAAGGGCCATTCTGGCCCCTCCTCTTCCTCCAAGCCCAGCCCCCTCCTCCCCACGCACCATCCCCCACCACTGTCAACCCTGAGCCCCATCATCCCCACTTCACTCTCAGGGCAGGCTACTTTGCTGAAACCCCGACCATGCACCAGTGCACCAGAATGTTCTCACTTCACTCCTACCACTTCACGGGGTGCCACTCATCAGCCTTCTTTTCCCAACTGAGGAACAGTGGCTCGGGGAGAGACAGGGCTGGCTTGGGGCTGCAGGTGCCTGGCCACCGGCCTCCAGGTCCCCAGCGGTTTATCCTGAGCTACCCAGCACTGCCAAGCTCCTGTACACCAGCAGACATGGCAACCCATCCACCTTAGGTCTCCCGGGCCTGGGTTTGCAGCCCCATTCTGCAGAAGGCAAAGCAGAGGTTCAGAGACATGAAATGCTGAGGTCAATCTCACGCTGGGAATGGCTAACAGCAGCAGGACTGGACTCCCCAGCCCATGTGAGACTTTGGCCTTGGAGGTGCAAGTAGCTGACAGTGACCCCAGCTGTCAGAACAGGTTGGGTGTGACCTTTTTCTTCCCCTCACTGCTCCAGCCTTGTGGCCTCAGGGCTCTCATGCAGGGAATTGCCATACACTCTCCCCCTCACATCCCTTAGCGGAAAGCCCCCATTTGGGGGGAAGGTGGTAGAGGACTTTGTCAGCCCCAAAAGAGACCGTAACAGTCCCCGCTGTCCTTCCCTTTTTCAGACTGCTTGAGGTTGATAGACACCCAGGTGGGGGGAGGGGACCAGCCTCCAGGATGGATGGTGCCCAGCACCTGACCACGTGCCCACGGGGACTCCCTGGAGGCCTTGCCCCTCCTAAGGAGGGGGTGTGGTCCTTCCACCTGCAGCGACAGAGCTGGAGCACAGCTCAACCCTACGAGCACCACCACCACCACCACCGTGGCCACTCTGATACTCGAGTCACCTCTCACACACTCACCTCCACCTAAACACATCTGGGCCCCGGGAACCCCAGTTCCACGCCCTAGGTCCCCTTGGCGCCTGTACACACACATCCTGGTGTGCGCTCACACACACTCCCATGCACACCCCCCCCACAGAGCTCCTGCCCCACCCCCTCAGCCCTGTGGGCACACAACGGACAGAGATCACTGCCCACCCCATGCCCACTGGGTCACCTCCCTAGATCTAACACAAGAGGGGGCACAGTGGCACTGCCAGGATGTGTGTGGGGGTGGGCACAGCTTTCTGACACACCCCACAGCCCCAGCACCCACACCCGGCTGGACACACAGGCAGGGTCACCCCCCAGTCACTCCCCCACTCCAGGTCACCTTCGCCAAGTCACCCTCCACCAGCAACTGGGGGTGCAGATGGGGGGGATTCAGTGTCCCCCCCCTCCACAGGAGGGGGAAGCCACACCATTCCGTAAGTGGCACACCCACGAGGTAGAGCCCAGCTCACTCCAACCCCAAGACACACCCAGTCTCCCGCCCCATCAGCACAGCCCGACCCCAGCCCACCCCCTCAACTCCTCTCAGGTAGGGCAGGGGTCCTTGTGGCCCCGGGAGGTATTCAAGGAGCCTCCCCCCCATTCTCCCAGGGGGGTCGCTTCGCTCTGTTCCTGCTCTGGCTGCCCGCTAGAAGGGGTTCTAAAAGGGAGGGACAGGAGCCCCCAAGGGCCACCGGCAGAGGTTGGGGGAGGAGAAGGCCTTCTCCAGGATGCCCACGGGGGGGGGGCGCCCGCGGGGACATGCTGCGGGGGAGGGGCGAGGAATGGCAGTGGGGGAGGGGCCCGGGGCTGCAACCTGGGGAGGTGGGGAAGGGTCGGGTAGGGACCCGGGGAACAGGAGTAATGAGGGGTGCGGGTCACGGACACACGGACAGGGGCTAAGGAGGGCAGGCAGCAGCGGGGGTCCCGCGCGGGGGAGGGGGCTGGGAGATGCGTGTCACTCACCCCCGCGGCGCGCCCCGCCAGCAGCAGCAGCAGCAGCGGGGGCAGGAGCAGCCCGCGGGCCCCGGGCCCGGCCGCGGCGCCTGCCCCGGCCCCGGCTCCTGCCCCGTGGGCGGCCCCGGCACGGTGCGGCGGCCCCGGCTTCATGGCGGCTGCGGCGCGGGCAGGCGGGCGGCGGCGCCTTTGTTCCCGAGGCGCGGGGCACGGAGCGGCTGCTCGGCGGCGGCCCGGCGGCTGGAGCGACGCGCGGCTCGGCTCGCGGCTCCGGCTCGGCGGCCCGGCTCCGCCTCGCAGCTCCGCGCCCACAGCGGCCGCGCCCGCAGGAAGCGTGCGCCGCTACCGCCGCCGCCGCCGGGCCGCCCCCAGCGCGGGCGGAGCGGGAGGAGGGGCGCGGCGCGGGGCGGGCCCGAGCAGCCCCCGCGGCCGCCGCCGCACCGCACCGGGGGCGATCGCGCCTCGGGAGCTTGGGGTGGGAAAGCGGGGTCCCGCGGGACGCAGGTCCCGGGCTGGCGAGGACGTGAGGGAGGCAGGATCTTGGGTTGCCCGGCACGGGCCCTGCTCCTTTTCAGCCTGAAGGGACGAGGGACAGCTCCGCCCCCGGAGTTCCCACTCCCAGGTTTATCCCAGGATCCTCACCTCCCACCCCCCTGCCAGGTCGGAGCGTGGACCAGAGGCACCTAGGACCCCAGGTCTCGCTGGGTCTCAGTCTCCCAGGCTGCCTGACACCTGCAGACCTGGAGTGGCACCTGCTCATCTCCAGCTGTGCACCCTCAGGCCTCCACCGCCCTGCTCTCAGAGAGAAGTCCCATCTGCCTCCAGGGCAGACCTACAGGGGAACTTCCCCAGGGAACCCCCCCCCCCAGCCTGGTGGCTGCTCCCTCTGTGGTGCCAACACCTGCTGTCCCCTGCCTCCAACAGCACACTGGCCTCCACTGGCACCCGAGCCTGATGCGCAGCAGGGCGCCCAGTGGTCCTGGGCACTTGGGACACCTTTGTTGAGCCTCACTTGCATTCAGCCCTTGGCCAAGTGATGTGGGGAGAAGGGAGGTGTTGGGGGGAGGCAATCCTTTGTTACACCCTAACCCCAAACGATGCAGCTTGGCTCACCTCAGCTCAGCCTGAGGCTCAGAGGAAGAGGTTATCTGCCCTAGAGGGCAGGGCTGGAGGGTGCCTGAGCCACACCACTCTCTGGGTGCTGTGTCCCAGCACCTGGCCCTCAGGACCTATCATCCGGAAGTCAGAATTGAATGGAGTTGAAACTGGAGCAGTCCCCTAAGGACAGAGCAACCCAAGCCAGGCTGAACAGTGCTGCCAGGGGAGGGGTGAGCATGGAGGCCACCAGGGGCTTCAATGTCCTGTAAGGCCCAAGGGACAAAAGTCCAGCTCAACAGAGAGAAACAGAGACTCCCATCTCCAGAGCGTGTGAGATCAGACTGCTCCTATGGGCCACGAGCCTGGAGAGGGAGACGTGCCCACTCCGATTCAAGCATTCTGGGGCATGCCGAGGGCCGGGCCTCTGGAAATTCCACCCCCACGTCTTCTGGAATCCTGGCTGGTGTGTATATGGGACAGGCAGGGAGCTGAGGCCCAGCTTGGCATTGGCACTTCTGACTCTGGGATGGGCAAGGACCTGGGTTCACACTGCAGTTCTGCCAGTTCTGAGCTGTGTGACCCTGTCCGCGTGTCCATACTGCCCCTCCCCGAAGCTCCAATGGAGAGTCTAGCGGTGTTCATTCCAGCAAAGACCAAGGACCCACCACGTACACAATCAGGAGCCATGCAAGCTCTTCCTGGGCTGGGCTGCGGCTGCCACCGAGGTGACCGGGTTGACACTCAGAAGTCAAGGGCCCCTTAGGGATCGAGACCCCCTGCAGAGGGGGCTGCCTAGAGAAGGTGGCCACAAGGAGCCTGCAGAAGCTGAGTGCTGGAAAGAGCAAAGGACAGTGGGGGCTGGCCAGAGGAGTAGTGGCTGTTCTGTAACCAGGGAATAGCTTGTTTCGGAAGCAACCCAGGAAGACAGCCTGGGTATGCAGGACAGGCAGTGAGCACGGCCCTACAACCAAGCAAGCTGCTGCCAGCCTTGGGACTCCTGAAAGTGGCCACCTGGGGTGTAGGGAGGAGGGGACGAAGCATCTTTGTCCAGGCCAGGAGCGCCATCTGCTGTCCTGAGACACTAGTGACAGTGGGAACGGAGCCTGCTCTGGGTCCCAGAGGGTCTCCTATAGCAACCTGCCCCCGCCTTCCAATCCCCCACCAGGCCCCAGCACACCTTGGAGCTCACGGACACCCGCACTGGCCTAGCTATGTGCACATAGTGTGTCCACATAGTCCCGGCCACATCCCAGATCATCCAGTCTCACCTCGCCACACACACACACACACACACCTGAGCACCTGCTGCCACACCCTCCCAGCAGCCCGGCTCACTCAGAATGTGTGTCATCTCTGCCAGGAAGCCTTTCTGCCTCTGGTCGCACCCTTCATCCTGTTTGCCATCCCCGCTGTCTCGCCCAGAAACAATAGGAGCGGGCCCGGTGTGATAGAGTAGCGGTTAAAATCCTCACCTTGAACGCACTGGTATCCCATATGGGTGCTGGTTCTAATCCTGGTGGCCCCACTTCCCATCCAGCTTCCTGCCTGTGGCCTGGGAAGGCAGTTGAGCATGGTCCAAAGCTTTGGGACCCTGCACCCACGTGGGAGACTCAGAAGAGGGTCCTGGCTTCGGATTGGCTCAGCTCCAGCCATTATGGCTGCTTGGGGAGTGAACCATCGGAAGGAAGATCTTCCTCTGTTTCTCCTCCTCTCTGTATATCCACCTTTCCAATAAAAATAAGATAACCAACAACCTTAGGGTCCAAATGGTGTTGGGCTTTGTCCTCATCTTCCCAGATGAGACTCCAGGGCCCGAAGCAGCCAGGAGAGATGCCCAGACCCCACAGTAGGCGAGTAGCAGCCTGAGCCAAGCTAAGAGTTCCCTGTGTGGCTCCAAGTACAGATGTGTGCTGGCAAGTGCCTGACGAACGGATGAATGTGTTGGAGAAGGGAACCCAGCAATCAGAGGGACACACAGCAGTCTGACCACTTCACAGTGCCTCGGGCACTCCTCAGGGGTTCAGAGCTGCACCCCCAGGTTCAGCACGTGGCATGTTGTCCCCTGATCCTAACTGGTGCAGATGTTCTGTGGGACTGTGGGAGCCCTTACACTGTGCCAGACTGACACACCCTGAATGCTCTGTGCACCCCCTTAACGCCTGGGCTCTGGGCTCTGCACACAAACCCATGAGCACCCCCTGAACTGGCACCCAGTGGCACCTGCAACACGGAGGGACCACACCTCTGTCTGGGCTTTCCTTTACGACCATTGGGCAACTGGGGACTCTGAAGCCCATAGAAGCTCAGTCACAGTGCAAGTCACATAGCCAGGACATTGAGCAGGTCAGGATTTGAACCAATGGTAAGGTGACAGGGTTCTGGCTTTGAGTACCATGCTGGGCTGCCTCTTGTGGGTTCTGAGAACTTGGTATCACTAAAAAAGTGTCTCTGTCTCTGTTCTGGTGGCCTCCAGTCTGTCCTCCCCATCCTGCCCCAAATGTCTCCCACTGTGACTTCCCAATTCACCCAAGGAAATCTGGGTGACGACAGTCCTGGGGATCAGGAACCCCCAAACCCCAGGAACTGAATAGGATCCTGACAAGGGGGCTCCAGGTGAGAAGGCTCTGAAGGTCTCCTGGGGAAACTGGGGCAGATGTGGGCTTCCTACCGCCCAGGCAACGAAGGTCGCACCAAGGGTGGCTGCTGGGAGGATCCACATGGCAAGCCCAGGGGCTCAGGGGAGGGATGGCTGGGCATGGCCTCCATTCCTGGGGCTGCCATCTGCACAGGCGCCTGGGTTGGAGCCATCTCTGCTTCCCCTCCCAGCTCCTTGCTAACGTGCCTGCTGGAAGGCAACAGGTGATGGCTCAAATGTTTGGGTCCCTGCCACCCATGTGACACTGAGGTGGATTTCCTAGCTCCTGGCTCCAACCCAGCTCAGCCATGACTGTTGTGGGCAGTTGGGGCAGTGAACCAGCAGGTGGGACAGCTCTGTTTCTTTGTCAAGTTGAAATACTGACTGTCAAAGGGCAGAAACAAAGACTCCTTCAGCCTCATTGCCCTTAAAGTCTTTGCCTATGACTGGAAGTCTACTGCCCTGCCAGATGGCCCTGATTGAATTCAGTAAAGTTGGAGGGGGCTGCAGGGAGGGCTTCCTGGGGAAGATGGGCAGCTCCAGGTGGTCACAGAGGGCAGGTCTTGGAGAAGCAGGTGCTGTGATGTGGTCCCAGGGAGCCTGAACCCTCCCAGGAGACAGGCCTTGGAGGTCTGGTAGTCCGGTGTGAGGACATCAAGTCCCAGGATCTGTTTGCTATGAGCTAGACTGGCTGGAGCTTGCGGGATCTGCTCCCAGCCACCTAGGTCTATCTGCCTACATCACAAATGACAATGTTGAACCTTGCAGAGGGAAAGTGCCCGGTTCAAGGTCACACAGTCCTGGGACTGTCACTGTCACTTCACTCCTTGCCTGGGTGGCTTTCTTTTACACTCGCCTTCCCCTGGATCTGTGGTTGCAGAGTCTTGAGCTGGGACATTCCCCAACCAGTATCCTCCTTGAAGGTCATGATCACCCCACCGTACCCAGGCCAGGCTCACGGGCTCAGTGGGCGCAGGCTCAGAGCTTGTGTTCATATACCTGCCTTCTCCCTAGAGGGTAGGGATCAGGGAAAAGGAGAAAGAGATGAACAAGGGGGAGAAAGGGAGGCTGAGGTGGGGTGTCAGGCAGGCGGTGAGGGAGGGGGACACTTCCTGACAGGGCCCTCCTTCCCATACCCCCATTCCTGGAACATACACAGCTGGAGTCATTTTCCTGGAGAGAACAAAGCCTCCCTACACATGCATGTGTTCCTTTATCTCTTCCCTGAGGCCAGAGTAGCCCAGGCCCCTGTTGCCTGGAGATGGGATAGAGGTGCTCGAGGTGGGGAGTCTGTCTCCCAAATTCTTGCACTGTGGCCCTCATCTCTCAAGCTGTAGGCTCAGAGCCAGGCACCTGCAGCAGAAAAACACAAGGACACACACACAAGGACCTGCCTTCCGGTGGAGCACCGCCCCCCCAC